TTCGGCTTGCTTCAGCGTTTGCTGTGGCTGTTGGAGCACGCGGTGCCCATCGCCGAAATCGACGGGGGAACTGCCGGTGCTAGTGTTGTAGGTGGGAGTCGTAGTGGTGATGCTGGTATTGTTGGCGTTTATGGTTCTGTTAGTGTTGGTGATAGTGGTTGTGATGATGGTGTTGTTATTGGTGGTGATGGTGGTGGTGATGGTAGTGGCGTTTCACTGCTTCCTGTCAGCGTTCTTGCTGTGCCGAATTCGTGGGGGCGTGGGACGCACTCTTCTTCTTACTATCTTATTCACTAACACGCATATTTAAAGATCAATTTGAAGGATTTCTGTGGCTTAATCTATCACACGGACTAACATTGCTTGCCTTAAGTTACAGTCACCATTACTGGCTGCCAGTGCCTAGAATCCACCTGTCTGACTTGACTTCTTTTTTCCCCATTGTTTTTGTGTACTACTGCTCCTCTGCACTGAAGAACATGTCGTAATAGGTTGTGCGCTTTGCATTTTGAAAAAGGCTTTGCTGGTTAATTCGTCACTTGGTATGAAAATGAGCAAAAAAGGGTGGTTACTTACTCAATCTCCCACGAAGCATTAACCCCAAAAGACCACAGTTTCGCTAAGCGTGGGATGTGTCTGCTTCCGTATTTTTCTACGAAGTACTCCAAAAGGTTCTTAGAAAGACAATGTGTGGGTGGTAGATGTTGGGCTGGACAAAGTCACGTGAGCTAGGCTCAGGCCGTTTATCCTGCAACTAAAGAGGGCGTGGGGGAATTCAAGAATAAATTATTGTTTGTAGGTTGACATTGTAGTAAAGACAGGTCACGCATGCTCACCTAACCTCTCTCTCGCATTAATGCAGTCTTCTTCGCTTGCGTTGTGATAGTGGTGATAATTTAGATGTTGATGGTAGTGGTGGTGGTGGGATGTTGGTGGTGATGATGGTGGTGGTGATAGTGTTATGCATTGCCAGTAAAATTGAATATGCGAGTTTCAAGAAACAGTTCAGAAGAAGAAGAAGCGACCACGGGAACATTAGTTTTATTGTCCTGACATTTCGGATTCCGTCGGGAACCCTTATTCATAGGTAATCGTAGAAAAGTCTTAGTCATGTGCAAATAAGGGTGATACATGCTCAGATTGCACTGAATTTATAGTTCGTAACGGTCATCCGCATGTGTACTAAACTTGTCAGTTCCTGTAGCCACCACTTGAGGTCTTAATTGGTGCTGTGATGGTTCACCAATTGCCACAATGTTCTTGTCTGCGTCGGATGCGGGCTTGATAACTGCGCGACAATTATGCCCGCTGTGGTCAGAGTTGTTGCTGTATCCGGCCCTTCCCACGTGACTGATCCTCTTGCTCAGGAAATTTCTCAGTACACCGTATCGGAACGCCAAATCCTTGCACTTGTTGATGGACTGGGGGCCTAAGAACCGTGACTCGAGCAGCTCGCGGCTCACGCGGTTTTCACCTCTTGCAAGGATTTTGGCCTCATCAAACTTGAAAATATGACCGGGTCCCGCCGAGTAAGCTGCAACATGTGAGTTGGTGTCTTTCTTTCTCCCCACCACTGCATGCTCGGCCATTCGCGTCCGGAGTAATCTCCCGGCTTCTCCGACGTAACTGCTTTGTCCACAACTGTACCAGATCCACTAAAGACCCCAGCCGTTTCCTGTCGTGGCAGTGGGTCTTTCAGCCTCATGTCCCAGCACTTGGTATTGTTGATGATGGTGTTGCTGGTGGTGGTGATGGTGATGGTGGTGGTATCGAGTAGCGTTAAGGCTAACTGGGTTCAACCCTAACAGCTGCGGCCTTCCAGGCCCAGTTCCTTAGGAGAAGAGACAAGTATTGGAAAGGCCAGAGTGATAAGTAGAGTGTATTATGTACAGAGGATAGGAGAATACGTGGGAGAAGATTTGACTCGCGGACTAGTGTTTCCGTCTCTTAGTCGGGTCGGGTCCGGAGTGTGGTCCATCGGCAGTAATCCGAGTGGCCGCCGTAGCTATCTTTGTCTCAGTCAGCCTTGATGGTGATTGGTCAGACCGCGACATTGTGTGTTAGTGAGTCACGATGGAAGAGAGTAGGTGCGTGCGTTCGCTAGCAAAGTGGGTCGCATATCAGTTTGCGTATTTACCGACGCACGCGGGAAAACTGCCTTCGAGCGAGGTTCTATGCTCTGAGTGACCTCCTCTAGGGCGTCAAGGGTTAGGAGGGCGTCGGACAGAAGCGACCACTACAGTGTCGTCGACACTGGTGGCTGCGTTTCACTGTCTCAAATCTGCGTTCTTCCTCTGCCGAATTCGTAGGAGCTAAGAAAGGTGAATCCGTGACAAAATGCTGCAATTAAACTTGGCGGTAGGTGCTATTTGCTCTTCATCACAAAAACGGAACTTATGTTCTTGGCGGCTGATCAGAACGGTTACACTTTTGGCTAAAGCCTTAAGTTATCTGTCTTCTCTGATAAATTCCCCACAACGTAACCGTAGGTCATCGTCCATGCATTAGACGTTTTGCTTGTTCTTATAACGTGGAGATTTTAGAGGAAACAGTGGAAGAACTGCAGTACACTGTCTTCCTGACAGGAGTGAAACAGTACAAGAAAATCTGATCCCAGAAGTGCATCTGTGACAGGTCCCATTAGAGGGTACTCTACACCTCAAAATCGTGTGTTTTGATTCTAAGGGGTTATCATTGTTTTCCTTCTTTCAGAGTTGCTGGCTGTGACCCAGGAACTGTGTATTTCCTCAGGACGAAGACTTCACCTGTGGTCTCAATGGGATACCTCTTAGCTTGGAGCTGAACGCGGCTGCTGTTTTCCTTGTTTAATTTCTCAGTCGGATGCATATGGCACACGCAGGCGGGCAGTTGGGCGTGTTCAGTCTCTGCGCCCTAGCTCCCGCCTACTCTTCCCTTACATGATACTCAGGTGGATATGGATGAAGCAAAGGATGCATACTTCTGTCCACCCGCAACGCTTCCTGGTGACGTTCGACGTCAGGGCATGAAACTCTCTAGCCTTAGCATTGACCTCTTTACTGCAGGCTGCTTGATTCAGAACACCTTAAAAAGAGTCTCAGAACCGTTAGCAGTCAGTGGCCGTATCAACATCGCTGAAAGTGTCAATATCCGCCGACCTGAACCGGCAAAACAACGAACTCGTGACTAAATGGTTAGGGCGTTAGACGCTAATCAAAAGGTCGCGAGTTCAGTCCTCCAGTATTGCACCATCTGGGGTTGACTATGGCTCGCTGGCGACGACTAATAAGCTAGTTATGGTCATTCAAATCCCCCTGGTCTTTGTGGGCAATACTATGTGCCCATATTACTAGCCGCTGTAGCTATCGCAGGGGGTTAAGTGAGTCAAACCCAGCAACTGCGATCTTCAGACCGTGGTTACTTGGTGCAGGAGACAAGTCCGTGAAGGCCAGAGTAGAGTGAAGAGTATATTGTGTACACAAGGGAAAGGAGAATAGATGGAGGAAGTCTGACTTGGGAGAACACGTTCGCTCAGGAGATTGACCGGGTCCCATGTACGCTTTTAGTAGCCATCAGGACAGTAGACAGAGAGAGAGCGCCTCCATTGGCTAGGTCGGCCTGTGATTGGTTGGACGGCATGTTGGCTGGTCCACGTCACGCGCGCAAGAAGGTCTGGCGACCGCAACGACCTTGAGCTCCAGATAGATTGAGGCCACGACCGGAAAGGCAGACATTGGACAGGCGGCAACCACTACATAGTTGCTGTAAGGGCCCGAGAAATGAGGCCCGAGACAAGTGAGTTGCGTTAGCGGTCGGTGAAAGTTCGTCAACCAGTCTGGGGACTTTCCAGAACTGAAGTTGAGATAAGTCCAGCCGTTGCAGAGAATGCAGTCAGGAGCGATCATTTCACAATGTATTTGACTTTCTTCCTTTCTAAGACAGTTCGGCTGTCCATTTCGAATATGCATACCGCAGGCTCCACAGTGGGGTGGATCAGAGACGGTGACTGCCGTGTGATTTCGTTTAAATTGATAGCAGACGTGCGCATCAACTACCACACTCTCCCACTTCCCATCAGTCTGCTCCCGGTATCAAGGCAGAGTCAAGAAGATCGACGGTGGAAAAGCGAGATATCAACAACAACAACAGCAACAACAACCAGTGGTTACGCAAACGAGATGGCCAACAAAGTCGCACCGAGCCCAACATTTCTCGAGCTGTCCCGTACGTCAAAAACGTATCAGTAGCTGTCGTGCGCAGTCTGGCACCACTTCGATTTGTAGTTGCACACAGGCTGAAGGCAGCCATAAGGCGACAGATATTGAAACCAGAAGACCTGCTGCCACGGCAAGAAACATCTGGAGTCATCTACAGGATTTGGTGCAACTGCGGGCAAAGCAACTATGTCGGGGAAACTGGCAGACTTCTCAAAACGCGAATTGCCGAACACGCGGCAGCAGTGCGGCGAAATGATGCCCATTCTCATATTGGGGCTCATTCGACGAGACCCGGCCACACTTACAAATTTGACGAGGCCGAAATTCTCGCAAGAGGTGACAATCGGGTCAGCCAAGAATTACTTGAGTCATGGTACACGGGCCCCCAATCCATAAACAAGTGCGACGATTTGCCAAATCCAAATTTGGTGCTGAGACTCGATTTGGCCAAACCAATTCGCCACTTGGGGAACGCACAGGCCACCGTTTCATCCAATGCCACCAAAACTCATGAAGGCAATTACGTTTAATTGTAGTTGTATGTTCGCAGTAATGACTGTATCCTCTAAATACTGCAAACTTCTATGCATGTGCCACCGTATCTGCTATTGCTCTCTGACTATGTCTCTGATGATGAATCCGAAACGGATCTCGAAACGTCAAGCGAATGAAAGTATTGTCCCAGCGATCGAGGCGTCTTCTTCTCAATTTCCTCCTGGGACTCGCATTTTCGCTTGTATTGACAACCGGTATTTCCAGACACTCACCCCGTGTTCGGAATTTGTCATGAGTTGGTGACCCGAGTAACGCCTGCCGTAATCTGATTTGGCCCCTGCGCACCTGCAAGAACATACACAAATACATAAAGGGGCAAAAGACAAGGACAAACGCATATGAAATGAGCTGTGATTTTCCAAATGGCTATGGGACAAAAGAATCGGCAGGTTATACCTATTAAGAGACGCATGAATTTTCTCGTCCATAGGAATGGAGATATTTGATTATCACTTAACATGTGATTGAAATAAATACGCAAGTCCATTTTGCGGACTTTTATTGTGACACGCACAGTGTGAATACCGTTTCAAGGTCAAAAACCAGGGAGTTGAATGTCCTCAAATAAAAGTCGAATGTCCTGACGGCCTAACGTACAGTAGGTGATCGAATACATGCACTCATGCGATTGAAATTAGACTCAGTAGTTTACCGTCAATTGGGTAGTGTTATTTTGGGTTGGTGAATGGATTGGAGGCCCAGTAAACTGTTTTACTATGCTACTTAATTTCGTATAATAAGTCATTTTTGTTGTATTGCGTTCTGTTATAACAGGACATTAATATGAGCATGAAACCTTTCAAGTAAATGTCTTTTTGAACTGGAAAAGCTGAAAATGAAAACGAAATGAGGGCACTTGTAGGGAACTGCGCGGTTTTTGCATAAACATGAAGCAAATTCTGATTGCAAATTACTAACGCCTTTTTCCCATAGAACGCAGCAATATAGAATTAGGAGGTGGATGTCCAAAAACCTGCGCTACAATGAAAGCATACGGACAAAAGACTAAGGGTATTTTTAATTCTTGATATTCAGTATCAGTATCAGTATATTGAGGGATATGTAGGAAAAATTCCTTTGATTGCCTTATTTGTACATATGTGCAGTGGTAGCAGAAAATTTGTTTCTCAGGCTGTTGGCGAGGCCAGTTGTCCTGTCTCATAGGAGAAAATAGGGCCAGACAGTGAAAAAACTCCTCAGAGATTTTTAGGAGAAAAACTGTCGCTCTTTACTCCTCAGGGATTTTTAGGAGAAAAACTGTCGCTCTTGTGGGGGTAATGCGTGGGATTTAGGTTTATTTCGATAATTATACCGGGGCCTAGAATGTGACTATTAAAACGAAAAAAATTTAACGCTTATTTTCAGGGAAGTCAGAAAAACTGGTCAATAACCTCATTTTTACCTTGACGTAAATTTGGAGAAGAGAAACATAAAACGGTGCAGCTACGGGCGGAGCCTGAGAGCGAGATACAAAGCGGAACGGGAAGGGTGCGGTCCGTAACCGATCGAACAGCTAAATATAGCATAGTAACTGATACTTTGGGCGAAAATACGCATCTAAAAAAGGTACTGTGTATATTTTTGTGGGCAGGAGTCCAGCATTGGGCGCAACGTTTTGTTTTCGTGATCATTATCGGCAGTTCCCAAGAACAATTTTGGGAGCTCTAGCGTAAGGAGGCGGGAGGAGAAAAATATACCAGCTGAATTGTGACGATCAAGTTACTGGCCTGAAAACGCGCCTGCGTCCAAAATCAACCAGTTTTCGGCAAAAAGGGTCATGCGCAAGCTTCCTCCTCCCTCTTGCGCGCCATTTCCAGTCGCCCAGTGGGAGAAGACGTTTATTTTCGTAAGCATTCTTACCAGTTCTCAAGACCGACCTTCGAAACTGTGGAAAAATCCACAAAATTGTCAGTGTGACCTGTGGACTTGTTTCTATATCACTGCGGATGGCAGTACTTACCTGGGACATCCAACCTCTTGCGAGCACTATTTTATTTGCTCGTTGACAGGCGGCCTTCTCAGTCAGGTGGTCGTGGTACTGCTTAATGGTTCTAGTGGGGCATTTACCCGGACCGTGGTTTAAAATAAGATGCAAATTAAGTACACTGGTCAGGTTTTGTGACTGGTCACTCACATGCTAATATTATTTGTCTAGGTTTGTTGTGAAACTCTTAGTAAGCAATAATCTTTAATGCATGCAGTAGACGTGCATTGCACGCGTAGGCGTATCGCAGGGGGTTAAATAAGTTAAACTCTAGCAAATATGATCTTCACGGCCGGTCCCCTAGAAGGCGTATGTTATAGGTACAGAAGAAAGTGAAGGATAGGCAGGAGGAAGTCTACTCCCGGACGAGTGCAGCCCGGCTGCTAGGGCGCCGAGTCCAGAGTGTCAGAGCGTAGGCAGTCATCGCAGTCAGTCTGCGTCAGCCTTAAAGGCCAATGACCAAATGGTCTGAGGTCAGCATACGAATGCGTGCGTGTCATTGGCAGGCGGCTTTTCGTGGGGATTAAAGCTGTCCAAAGGAGTAGGTCGCGGCTTGCGATCACGAGAAATCATGTCTGGCGTGGCGCGCAGGCAGTGCCGCTAGAGTGCCACTACAGGCGGGCTGTTCCACCATGTCAGTTGATGTATCTGCTATTACTGACGTCGGTTTTACATGAGATCTATTGGCTGACAGTGCATAGAGAGTGTGACAGATGTGTGGGACACGATGTGGTTCAGCCAGATAATAGGCGATTGAACGTATCCCAACGAATATGAGCTAGTGGATAT